CAAACAGGTTTGATGTTCTAATGTTCTATGATCAGGCTTAACAAAGCACAATCGATAGCTATCTATTGTCTCCTAACATCCTTCCAACTTGTTCTCAGCCTCAAAGTTCTTTTCCAGCAAATGCACCCGTGACATTAATGTCCAAACCACGTCACGAACACCAACCTTTAAGATGTAACTAACCATGAAAAACACAGTTCTATTTTCAAATTACACGGACCCGATACCACAGATATGCTTGGGATTTTATCTTGAGATATATTTGCAATTAATTATTTGTATAATGCCTCAATAGTTCAAGACACACTAATTAAAAAATAAGTATGTATTCATTATGATCCAACTAATTATGTCACATTATCCTCGATGACAGAAGTAATTTACGTTCAACACGCATTGATCAAGCAAACACCATAACGGACCAGATTCCAACGTCTGACCTGGATTAGAACATATGTGTTCTGTTCAACAAAAGATTTATTCATATTCAATAATCGTTTTCCGCAAAATACCACAGTGAACCTTATATAATTATCTTCAACTGCAAATTAAAAGAAGATGAACAATTAAAAGAAAAACCTGCTCAGAGTGCGACGACGTTTCTTTTCGGGCAACTGCTCGTCAAAATCGACCATGTTGAAGAAAGGCCGCCTCCTTTCCTCCATGCCTTAAATAGAGCTTAAGATCTAAATATACGATTATACACATAAAAATAAAAATTGCGAATCACGTGTACTGTAAAAAACTGGGAAAATAACGCGCAGGGAAAAACCGAAATGAAATTGAAAAAGGACCATTTATGGATACCTCGTAAACGTTAGTCGCCGCTGTTACCCCGAAAAAAACATGTTGGGCGCCAAGACGGTGGAAGAAAATACACCCGAAATCCATTTATCTCGATCCTCTGACGGCTAAATCAATCGGAGTCAATAGCCACACGCACGACGTGTATGTGTGTATATATGTGAATGTAAATAGGTTTTTTAAGTACCTCTGTAATTCGATGTAAATCGGGTGCGATTCTGGCAGAAGAAGCTCGAGCACACCGGAGCCGGCTATCCAACGGGCAGATGCAAAATCCCATCATGCAAACAAAGACGTTTCCCAGCTTCAACGATTTCTTTTCCGGCAGGGTGGCGCTTGACACATCTCAACAACCCAATTTTCCCGGAAAAAAAAACCCCCAAACCAAAACGACAAATCAAAAATAAAAACAAAAAAAGCAAAAGGCAAAAATCTCCAAAAAATAAAAAGAACAACATCAAATTGGCAATCGGTCGTCGCCATCGCCGTCTCCTTCCTCCTATTCCCTTCCTTCGTCCCCACGGACCTCCAAACGGAAAAATCTCATGATTTGGACCTTGAAGTGAAAAAGAAATTCGGGTTTCCCCCACCGACGGAGCCGAATTCCACCGTCACGGAACCAAATATCCCGACGACGGTCTTCAAGGACTTGTCAAATAGGCAGCGGGGGTCGTTCGGCCTGTAGCTAAACTTAAGCAGCGGGTCCGAACCGAGCCCGAATTCGAAGTTGATGGAGAGCTTTTAGCGATTACCAACGGCGATCTCGGTGGAGGAGAAGCGGAGGCCGATGATGGTTAGGGAAATTTTGATCTTGAGAATTGGGGGTTTCGGGTCCTCCCAGAGGATGAGCGAAGATTTCATGATGTGGGCTTTTTTCCCGAGCTAATAGCGGCGATTTTCAAGATGAGATAAGATAGGACTATTCAATCAATAAAATCTCCAAAAATTTTGAATTGCATGGGCGGGAGCTTATTCATTTTTTGGCCAAAAATTATGCTAAACTTTAGGCGGGAAATGAAATATTTTTTTTCCTAATTTTTCACATGATTTTTTCAAAAAACTATCATTCCCTCTTTATATATTAATAGATAGGGCTAAGAAAAAATACAAAAATAGTATGTCTTTTCCCGCTTTTTTTTTTCGTTTTTTACAATTTTTGGATATTTTTTTGAATCTTTTGGTTAAATCCCGCCCAGACTTTTTAAAAAAATTCCGCCATTGCATCAATAATTTCGAAATTCAAAACTGTTTTGGATTCATTTTTTGGTAAATTTCATTAATTATGGCAACAAATTTACCAATAATTTTCCAATAATAAATATAATCCCTTATTATACAACTTCCCTTAATATGCACCGGCCACAACTTCCATACATATTGTAATGAAAAAGCACCATTTCAAGAAATAATATTTGATTTGATTTTTGCGATGTACAATAATGTCAAGGAACCAACAGTTGACTCCTTTGCATTACTGATGCAACGTATATAACATATTTGTTGTGGTTGTGTAAGCCATATAAATTAACATTAAATTATAGAGGGAAGAGCAAATCAATCGTATGGAGAAAAATCCGTCGGGTTTGAGTTTTTCGTCCTTCTTCTTCAAGAGACTGAGTGCTAAGGGCGGCGGCGGTGGAAATTGAAGAGCTCCGCCGGCCTGCAGAAGAAGCGGTTAAATTTGTACTCTTCAATATCGTCTTGACTTTCGAGGCCATCATGTTGGTCTCCACGCTTTGCGCCTTCTTCATGTGGTGCGGCTGCCGTTTCTGATTTTCTTTAAAAAAGAAAATATTTGTTAATTCACGCCGGTGGTGGTTCGATGGTACTGCGAGAGTTTTCGTCTCGATCGAGTTGCTTTTTCCATGGCAATTCATTTGTGCGTGTGCAATAAATTAATAGAGGAAAATTGATGTTTTTTTATGCTGATTTTTTATGTAATTTAATTTATTATGATCGTGATCATTATATTGAAGTCTTAACGAAATCTTGTGTCGATTCCCTGTTTTTATGAGTAAAATTTTGCGATAATCATTTCTGGTTGTTGATGGTGTAAATTTCCAATTTGAGGTGTATTTTTTTTATTCAATTAAATTATCAGGTCCGAAATTAGGCAGAGATTTTATAAGAATTCACGAGTAGTTTTTCTCTTTTTATATGATTGGTTAATTAGATATGCATGGTAATTTTGTCTACTTTATTACTATATTTTTCTTTGTTGATTTCCCTGTTTTAAGAGGTGATATGGGTGAGTCTACTCACTTGAACTGTGTTTGGGGCCGTGAGTGTTTAT